GCGCATTAAATATCGCATGCGATTTATCGTGCAGCCCTAGTCTCTAACCATAATTACAGTGGAGTAACTTTTCTGTGATTAATGCTTGATTGTGTTTCCACAGGGCAGAAATAACTTGTTTCATACCATCCTGATGTTTCTCTACATTATCAAAACCAAGGAGTCGGGCATGCTGGGGTGAGTGTTGATCTATCATGTTATCTGTGATCTGCATCGTTTTAAGGAATTTTGTAGCTAGGATAGTTGTTTCTGTTTTTGGTTTGCTATTTGGATCCTGAAAGTATGTGCTACATTGACGTACGAAATGGATGAAACCATTGCCCCCTTTTTTTGTACCAGGAGAGTGAATCTAGGTCTTTCGGGAGTGAATGTACTCTGGATCTTCGGGGACTGAGTTTGTCATGTTATCAGAGGAAAACACTGCACAAGCCTTGGGATGTGATAAAGACTGTTTTTTTTACTTTTATATTCTTGTGATGTTGCATGTTTTTGAGATGCATTGTACTGTCACATTACTTGCAACCTTAATGCAAATACAGATTAAACAGTCATTTTAGCTGAAGAAAATGTTTTAAATTTCAACACTGAGATATTTATGACTTGAAACAGTGTCAAAATGGATCTTGTTCCACTGGATTTTGTATACGTATTTCATTCATCATACAAGAAAAACAATGTAGTTATTCATGAATGTAAATTCTTTATGGTTAGTTTGGATGGGTGGACACTGCAGAAGTTATGATTTTTTATGAGTTATGAAGTAGTTATTGGTAGTTTTTCTTCATGCACTTGAAATGACATGCAACCATGAAAGCATAAGTCATATGTACTTTTAATAATGATCATTTATTTGCTCTCAGTGACGGGCTTTTCTTATTTCTCTTCACTGTTATTTTGACAAAATACAGAAGAGCTGGGATGAAAGATGATCCCGATCTTGAATGCCAAATTACATATTCGACAAGAAATGTTTGTTGTTTGTATTTTATATTGTGTCTGAAGTGAAACTTGAAATGGAATGAGCTTCCACTTTTGTCCTTGGTTTTTAAATTAATAAATGCCCAGCATTGTTCTTATATATTTTTT